CATCTGGTGTGCTGATTATGCCACTGAGTCCGCCCTACCAACCACCACCCTGTCCTGCTGGGCCAGAAGTTCTGTTCTCTCCCAGTAAAGGCACAGAGTTGGGATAACAGTCCCCCAGCAAAGTAAAACAGACTAGGATGTAAGGGAGTAGTCAACTACTCACATTCCATCCCTCTGCCCTTGCTGCCTTTGTATCAGAGGTAGCAAGGGGAGGGAAGGAGGAGCCATCTTACAAGCCAGTTCCCCCAGCACCGTTTCCACAGTGCCGTCTGCAGGGACTGCTGCCACGAAGCAGCCCCTGTCCACAGGGGGTCCCAACTCGCCACTGGGATCCCTTGTGGACAGAGGCTGCTGCTGGCTGGGCAAGCAGCCTCGCTCAGTTCTGGCTCGCGCTAGGTCCAGGACCAAACCCCACTGCGACTCTGCAATTTAAAACGCAGCAGGAACCGGGGGGGAGGTACAGGCTGCCTGGTTCCTACTGCCTTTTAAATTGCAGAGCCACCGTGGGGTTTAGTCCTAGAACCAGTGCGAGCTGGGACTGAGCCAGCTGCCTACTGGCTAATCGAGTAGTCGATAGAATTGTTATCAACTACTTGATTAGTAAATGAACCTCAGTTTAGGGACTGGATAGCACTTAGGAACACAGTCTTCAAAAGGGAACAAAACTAGAGATAAACTTGCTGCTTAAACTCACTGTTACATGGGTGAAGCTTACCAGTTCTGGTTAACTGGCAGGGACTGAAGCAGTTACCCCCTTGGGCTGGTGTGTAGGGGGCTGCTCCAGCCGAACAGGGCCCACTGCATGCACAGGCTTCCCCAGCCAGCTGGAACAGCCCCTATCCATGGCAGGCCTGGTTTCCCCACTGCAGGTTACAGTCTATGGCTGTACGCTCCCAAGGAGGTGGTTTTGTTGCTACTTTCATTTCCTCCAGGAGTGGGGCCGGTGGCAGCAAAGCCTGCAGCATATGAAACTAAAATTTTTACCTTTTTACATCCCTACCCAAAACCTCAGATCAGTCTTACTGTGTAAAAGGTTTACACAGAGAAAGTTCATGAGATTTGCTCTCTTTATCAATGAGAGTGATGCACGGTTGTTGCTCCCTTCCCTTTAATAACAATTATTTACATTGGATTTGATGATAAACAAAAGTGGCTTTCTTAACTATAAAAAGAAGGATCTAAGTGTTTGCAAGTGATAGCTTACTTTAATCTGAATGTTATTAAGCCAAAAAACAAAACAAAAAAAGGCCCCAAACACACCGGATAAGCCTTAATAGACTAAGGGTATGTCTTGTCAACAAAACTTGTGTTGACGCCCCAAAGTCATAAAACCAAAAATTGCCAGAGGGTATTCACACTTATTCCTTCTGTTGACAGATCATGTCCATGTTGGGGGCACCATCGTTGACAATGTGAGCAATGCACTTTGGGTATGCATCCCATGGTGCAGTATTGTGCATTGATCAGCTCTGCCTTCTCACATCTTGGACTTCTCACTGAGTTCTACAGCTTCCTAGCTGCCGGGAATGGAATCATGAGTAGCTCTGTGAGCTCTCTCTGCTAAGGAACCTCAAAACAGCACAGTAGTCTGTCTTCCTCCCTCTACAGCAGGGGTCCCCAGCGCGGTGCCTGCAGGCACCATGACACCCGCTGGGGCATTTATGTGCGCCCCCGCCCAGTGACCAGGGCTGGCCCAAGCCATTCTTGTGCCCTGGGTGCCTGGCGCATACATGGTGCCACCCCTGGGTGCGCGGCACATGCACAGCTGGGCGCCCGGCAGCCCCAAAAGGTTGGGGACCACTCCTAATACACTTTAAATGCAGAGCCACGTAGGGTTAGGTTCTGGACCCATTGTAAGCCAGGACTGAGCTGGGCTGCTGGCCAGCCTGCTAAACAATTTACTGGTGGGAGTGGGTGAGAAATGCATGTAGTCTGTAGCATTAACCTATAAGCTTTTACTTATCCGTTAATTGACTATACTATTACATCCCCAGTTTTAACTTATCTGGGGTAGAAGTGTTGCAGTTTTGGGGGAGAGGGTTACTCTATTTACCCATGTATGATTTAATAGAGAGCAACCTGTTTTTAAAAAAAAAAATCAGTCTTTGATTTGTCTTGGACTGAGCCGTCGATCGACAGATTTCATCTTCTATGACACCATTGGTGAGCAACTAAACCAATTGTTGATCGGCAGAGCCGATTACAGATGTCACATAAAAAGCTGCCAGCTGCAGACTCTGTATGTTCTTTTCGGATCCTGTGCTTTTTCTGCAATGTCTGGATACGCTGACTCTCAAAGCAATTAAGAGACCGTACAGTAGTTTGTCACTAGGACAATCTGTCCTGAATGTGAGTTTCCAGATCCTTGGGAGATATGCCGCATGACTTCATATTGGCCTTTAAGATGTCTTTATAATGCTTATACTGACCACCAATAAAGCGCTTTTCATGAGCAAGCTGGCCATGAAGACCATCTTTGGTATCTGTGTATCATCACATGCTCATAACATGACCAATCCAGCGAAACTGTTTGTTCATAAGCATTGCTTCCGTGACCGTGACACAACACATCTTAAGAACCTCCATATTAGAAATTTTGGTTCCAACAATTCATGTGGGCAATCTTCCTCAGACAATGCATATGGAACTGATCAAGCTTCAAAACATGGTGACAATATATTGTCCATGACTCTGAGCCATACAGCAGGACATTCAGGACAACTGCCTAATAAACTACTATCTTGGTATGGAGTTTAATACCATGGTCATTCCATAGGCATATGGTCAATTTTCCAAAGGTAGTGCTGGCTTTGGCTAGTCGAGCAGATACATCGTGATCCATGTTTATGCTAGAGGACAGTACACTTCCCAGGTAGCAGAACTTGTCAACAGCCTTAAGGACTGTACCATCAGCAGTAATCACTGGTGTGCTGGGCTCTTTCCAGACAGGCTGAGGCATAACTTCTGTCTTCTTGAGGCTCACTGTGAGTCCAAATCGGTGAGCAGAAGTAACAAAATGATCAAAAAGCTCCTATGCATCCTTCACTGAATGAGCCAGCAATGCACAGGCATCAGCAAACAGAAGGTCATGAATAATTGTAGTCATTTGTAAAAATACACTGAATACAGTACATATTCTCCTGATTATCAAAACCTATTATCCAAACCACCACACTATCCAAGTCCCTTCATTGTTCCCTCTGTAGAGGGCTTGTTTCTCTGGCTGATGGACAGGGAAGAGATTTGGATAACGTGGAGATTTGGATAACAAAGCAGAGAATTCCACCTCTATTCAAGGCTAGAAGAAGGAGCCCCTGGTAGCCAGGGAGGGGGGCACTGCTGCAGAATTGCTCCTGCCTGGGAACCCAGACCACTGGAAGCCTTTGGTGGCTGGGCTGTTGTGGGAATGAGCTAGCCCATAGCTGTGGAATTGCTAAGGACTCTCTGTGCTGTCACAGGACTGGTGATACCTGATTCCTGTGGGAGAGGTGTCACTGGCACTGCAGCAGCACACAGTGATTGAGTCCACTGCAGCCCTGCTTTTGGGAGGGGGCAGAGCAGAGACCCCTGACCAGGATGGTAAAGAGGAGAAGCCCCCAGCTACCAGGCAGACTGTCCCACTTGCTGAGTGGCTCCTGCCCTCTGGATTATCTGAATTGCCCGTAGAATTGAATAAAATATGTTCTTCTATGCTATGCAGATAATGGGAGCATCCTGTATTGCTTAAATTAGCCACAACCATTTTATATCAGAAGCTGTATCATTTTCAGTTGCAGAAATAGTTTTTGGATAAACGTAACACATTTTTGTGAATTGTGTTGGAGAAATTTAATGTTTTTCATATCTGTTGAAGCATATGACTGCCATAGTCAGCTGTCTTTGAGGAAGTTTTCAAGAAAAATAGTATCTCTGGCAATAGCAAGTGGTGGAAAAAAAGCCCAGCAGCTGCTTGGTATATGAAGAAATGAATCATTTTGAGAAATCTGAGATCACTTAATATACAAATGCAATATAATATACAAATGCAGTGAACAGATTTAGGTGTCTGACCTTTATATGTTGCCATTACGTGTTCTATATTATAGCTTCATAGAGACCCACACTGGTAATGTAACGTGGTGTAAATGATGGCCAGGATTTAACATCAGCTATCTTAGGGCTTATCTAAACACAGAGCTCGTACTAGTTTAAACTTCCCCTATTATCACCTCTATGTCATTACCTCACAGAAACTTACCTTCCCCCCTCACCCCCACTCTGTTCTAAAACTTGATTTGTCAGTTTCACATGTGTTCATTTTTTTTTATTGTATCACTTTGGTATATATGGTTGTGCCTATTTTCTTCCACATATTGATCTGAGGAAGTGGGTCTAGCCCACGAAAGCTCATCACCTAATAAACCATCTTTGTTAGTCTTTAAAGTGCTACATAGTTCTGTCTTTTGTTTTAGTTTAACTAAGGTGTGATGATGCATCCGTTTAGAAAAAACAGTAGAAATGTGGATATTTAGGCTTTTTTAAATAAATCAGCCTGTTACCACATCTTTGGTTATATCACTACAATGCTCTGTGTAAACCACACACCTCAGTCTGCAGACAGCAAATCCCTCATTTCCTTTCCCTAAATGATCTGATGTTTGATGATCTGGGCCTGAGTACTTCTATGCAGTAAGGCTTAGGTTACATGGTGTTTGAAGATCAAATAATCATTCCATGAAACAAAGATGAAAGCTTGGAAGTATCCTGCAAGAATTAACTAACCAGTTCACACAACCTCCTGGTGAGGTGTTAACCAGAGTTTTGCAATCCAAGACAGCCAGGGATTTGTCCAAGACCATCCAATCTATCAGATGCAAAGCTAAGCTTAGAATTTGGATTTATAGGTGGGTTTAGAAAACGTGTTAAAAGCAGTTGTCAAAAGTATTCAATTGTTGGATTACAAAAAAACTGTAGTACGATTAGATGAAGTTTTCTTAATAGCAGTCAGTTTGCTATGTCTAACATTTTGGATTTGTTCTTTCTAAAGACATCTCCTTCTATATGGATCAAGGTGCTAGTGATGGTGAAGCTGAGAAAAGGCTTTTCTAACCACGGCCAGGATGAATCGGCTGCCAGATGATGCAGAAAATGCTCAGAACAGCAGTCGGGGCTCCTGCCCTTCCTTGCAGGATGTCCATTCCATCAACCCAGCCCAGCTGATGGCAAGGATTGAGTCCTATGAAGGAAGAGAGAAGAAAGGCATATCAGATGTCAGAAGGACTTTCTGTTTGTTTGTTACCTTTGACCTTTTATTCGTAACCTTGCTGTGGATAATAGAGTTAAATGTGAGTCTCGTTTTTTGAGCTTTTTTTTTTAGATTTGTTTAGATTAGGTGGCCAATTGCCACCATTCTACTCCAACTCAAAGTATGTACTATCAGCCTAGTTTTGCATGTTGCGCTATACAAATGTCTTGCTGTCTAACCTCAGTATAAGAAAGAGATCCATTTAGCTTAGAAGTGGCAATTCTGTTTTTAATTGCTGTGTTTTACAATTCATTATTATATATATATATTTGTATTGTTAGATGATTTCTGACAAAGCTTTATATTAGCTATGTCAAACTAGAACAAAGAAAGTGTCTGTACTTAATAGAGCAAATAATAAAAAAGATTCAAGCATCTGTAAACATGGACAGTAAATATGAATTTCATCCTAGCACAAGTTTAGGGTTTTTACCATATGACACAGTGAAAACAATATTTTCCAGCATTACTCATCTCTTGAGAGAGACTCCATTGAAGGATGCTTGTGACCAAAGTTGTTTTGATTTTCCTTGTGTCAACTTTACTCTAAGAAATACTTTAATTGTTTCTTGTGAGTAAGTTTTGAGATTACTTAATTGAAACTACTGTTCCTATGTCCTGTATTTGAAACCCTACCAAGAGGTATGTAATAATATAAAGATCTCATGTTTTCAGTATTTCCGAATCAAATATTTTATTGTGAAACCTGCCTATCTGGTGGCACTATCTGGACCATTAGCTAGGTTTTTGAAAGGCATTTGACCTAGGAGCAAGCTGGAACAAAAGATTAAACTTCTTAGAGATTATACAGTCTTAATTGAAAAAAGATGTTAATATGAAAAGAACCATCATGAAAAGATTAATCTAAATGAGTAGGTCTTTGTGGGAAGGAATATATAATCTTCAATTTATGTAATTTTTTGTAAATTATTCTATAGATGACATTTAACCATTTAAGATCCATCATATTTTTGTGACTAAAGAGATGCTCTGTTGGAGGTGTTTCAGGGAAAGGAGAAATGCTTGCACATGTGGTATGTGTCCCGGATTAGATTATTTTGGGAGAAAATTATTAAAGAAATTAATTTTATGACAAAACACTGTTTCCTAGAGATTCCCTGTTCTCCTTACTTAATGCTCCAGTAAACGATCTTGTGAAAATAGACTTAATACTTAAAGAATACAAATACTGCATTTAATGATACTTAAATGAGGTAGCTGTTACTGTGCATCTAAGATGTGCAAGTTACATGGCTATCGTTAGCCAGGCCTGCTGGCACGAAAGTCTTTTTTTCTCTCTAAAAGCCAATTGGGAGGTCAGATCTGATAACCATACTGAGATGTTTTGGTCTTAAAACATGTAACTCACTGGCATACAGGCTTCAGGTTTTCCAAATCTTGGTATTAGAATACACTCTTAATTGTTCCATGTTTATCCTTGCCAATTTATTTACACTGTGAACATCATAATAACCATAGAATTGCGTTGAATTTCTATTGCAACCAAGAGGAGGCTTTGGTTTGTTGCAAATCTAAAAAGAACAGAAAGATTGAGATCAGGGTGCTTGTTGCATGTGCATCAACATTGTAGCTACCGTATTTTCCGGCGTATAGGGCGACTGGGCGTATAAGACGACCCCCTATCTTTTTAATTAAAAGATAGGGTTTCATCTTATACCCCAGCGCCCCTCCGCCTCCTTTGCTCCCGGTGTCCCTGGTCTGCTGGAGATGGTCCCCAGCAGACCAGAGGCACCGGGAGCAAAGCCG